AGTGAGAAGGGACTGAAACAGGAAATTGTTCCTACAGAGGTAGAGAGTGGGTGCTGCTATAAAGATAACCTGAAAATGTGGAAGCAACTTTGGAATGAGGTAACAGGCAGAGTTTGGAACGAGGTAACCGGCAGAGTTTGGAACAGTTTGGGGGGCTCAGAGAAAGACATGGGAGGAAGGAAGATTTGGGAAGGTTTGAAACTTTCTAGTCTTGTTGAATGGTTTTGACCAAAATTCTGATAGTGGTATGGACTATGAAGTCCAGGCTGAGATGGTCTCACATGGAGATGAGGAACTTATTGGGAAATGGAGCAAAGGTCACTCTTGCTATGCTTTAACAAAGAGACTGGTAGCATTTTTTCACTGCCATAGAGATCTGTGAAACTTAGAACTTGAGAGAGATGATTTAGGGTATCTGACAGAAGAAATTATTATTATTATTATTGTTATTATTTTTGAGATGGAGTTTCACTCTAGTTTCCCAGGCTGGAGTGCAATGCCATAATCTCGGGTCACTGCAACCTCTACCTCCCAGGTTCAAACAATTCTCTACCTCAGCCTCCTGAGAAGCTGAGATTACAGGCATGCACCACCATACCTGGCTAATTTTGTATTTTTAATAGAGACGGGGTTTCTCCTTGTTGATCAGGCTGGTCTTGAACTCTGGATCTCAGGTGATCCACCTGCCTCAGCCTCCCAAAGTGCTGGGATTACAGGCATGAGCCACTGCTCCTGGCTGGTAGAAGAAATTTCTAAGCAACTAAGCATTTAAGAGGTGACTTGCTTTTTTCTGAAAGTGTACATTTATATGTGTTCACAAATAGGTAGTTTGAAACTGGAAGTTATGTTTAAGACAGAAACAGAGCATAAAAGTTTGAAAAATTTGTACCCTGACCATGTGGTAGAAAAGATAACCCCATTTTCTGGGGAAAAATTTAAGCCAACTGCAGAAATTTGCAGAAGTAATGAGGAGCTGAATGTTAATCACCAAGGCAATAGGGAAATGTTTCCAGGACATGTCAGAGATCTTCAAAACAGACCCACCTATCACAGGCCTAGAGGCCTAGGAAAGATAAATGATTTCATGAGTCAGGTCCAGGGCCCCTTTGCTCTATGAAGCCCTGGGACTTGGTGCACTGTGTTTCATTTGCTCCAGTTCCAGCTGTGGCTAAAAAGGGCCAAGGCACAGCTTGGGCCATTGCTTCAGAGGCTGCAAGCCCCAAGCCTTAGAAGTTTCCATGTGGCGTTGAACCTATAGGTACACAGAAGTCAAAAATTGAGGCTAGGAACCTCTGCCTAGATTTCAAAGGATGTATGAAAATACTGGGATGTCCAGGCAGAAGTCTGCTGCAGGGGCAGGACCCTCATAGAGAACCTCTGCAAGGGCAATGCAGAAGGGAGGTGTGGGGTTGGAGCCCTCATACAGAGTCTCCACTGGGGCACTGTCTAGTGGAGCTGTGAGAAAAGGACTACCACCCTCCAGATTCCATAATGGTAGATCCACTGAAATCTTGCACTGTGTGTCTGGAAAAGCTACAGGCACTCAATGCAAGTCCATGAAGGAGATGTCCAATGCTATGAGTGCCCACCCCTTTCATCAGCATTCCCTGGATGTGCGAAATGGAGTCAAATGAGATTATTATGAAGCTTTAAGATTTAATGACTGTCCCATTGGCTTTCTGACTTGCATGAGGCCTGTGGCCTCTTTGTTTTGGGCAATTTCTTCCATTTGGAATGGAAACATTTACTTCATGCCTGTACCTCTATTGTATCTTGGTTGTAACTAGCTTGCTTTTGATTTTACTGGATCATAGGTGGAAGGGGACTTGCCTTATTTCAGATGAGACTTTGGACTTGGACTTTTGGATTAATGCTGTAATGAAGTTAGACTGTGAGAGATTGATGATTGGTTTTGAAATGTGAAAGAGGCATGAGATTTGGGAGAGGTCAGGGGCAAATGACATGGTTTGGCTTTGTGTCCCCGTCCAAATCTCATCTAAAATTTTAATCCCTAGGTATTGAGGGAGGATCTGGTGGGAGGTGATTGAATCATGGGAGCAGTTCTCATGGTAGGTGAGTGAGTTTTCAGGAGATCTGATGGTTTCATAAGTGGCAGTTTCCCCTGCTCTTCTGCTACTATGGGAAGACGTCCTTTGCTTCCCCTTCACCTTTTGACATGATTATATTTCTTTATAGCAGTGTAAGAATGGACTAATACAAAGCTTAATTCATCCCTTTTTTTGGTCTTATTCTTGCTCACTTCTTACCTTTCTTATTTGAAGAGCTTGAATTTCTAGCTGATTTTATGTAGAAAATTTTATGTCCTTTTGCTCTTTTATAACCTAGACTCATTCTTCTATGAAATATTTTATGATGGAAAGCAATGATAATTATGCATACATCCATAAGGAGGGTGACCACAGTTTTGTTGATGGGTAGTATTTACCTTATTACTGTATAAGGATGATGAGCATTCTGTTGTTCTTATTGTTTGCAGCAGCACATTAAATGATTGTTTTGAGATAATAGCTCAGATATTGTTTTGATCTTGATCTCTTCTACATTGTGTATTAAATAGATTTCCCAAAACTAAATATTGATAACACTTCTGTATTCTGCTACAAATCATATGCTAGATTAGATATTCTTTTGATGTTGATCTTGACCTCCACCACATTGTGTGTAGATTTCCCAAAAATAAATACCAATAACACTTTTTTACCCTGCTACAGATAACATACTGATTGTAATGTGATTTCATACTAGTACTGAATATTCACATTAACAATACTTCTCAATTCGTAAACCTTTAACATTCTTTGAGCTCCTATAGATTAGTGTATTTACCTGTATTTGCTAGTTTGTATGTAACTCATTGTTTTAGTAATCCCCTTCAATCCTGCTGGTAGAACCATCCCTTAGATGTCTGCACATGCATTATACCCTGCCTCCTATGCGAAGTCTTCATTTATTAAAAGAAAAGCATATTTGGATGTTCTTGTCTTCTTCTATCTCAGTGCCTTTTTCTTTTCTTGTTTTTGTCCTGGTGCCTTCTATAGTTAACTCTTAAATCATTATCAATGTGATATATTAAAGATGTTCAGTAAGTTTAATTGATCATTTCAAATTAATACATTTGAAATTATTTTTTCTTTAACACTTCAAATATGGAATTTTTGCATATGCATACATCTGGCATGTTATAATCTTCAAGTTCATCATCTTTAAAATGATTAGTTTCAGTCAGCCTGAATGTGTAGCTTTTACTTGGACTGTAAAATGAATTTCAGAACTAATAAATTTGAACATTTAATTATTCCTTCAGTACAGCAATGTGATATATTAAAGATGTTCAGCTTTAGGAGCACATATTGAAACTAAATGTGGACTTCAGAGACATTACTTTTTCTGATGCTGAAAAATCATAATTAAGGTTTTACATATACACAGAAATCTTTTCACATTCACTATATCTATGAAATATTATAGGAAAATAATGTTTAGAGCTTATCATACACTAATGTAATTATCTAAAATTGAACTTCAGTGGCTACTAGAGGGTCAGATACTATGGGACACTGTGCATACCTGTGGCTTACTGTTCTTAGAACAGACATATTTCTAGGGTAGAGGCAGAAAACAATTTAGTGCCATATGTGAAGATCAGAACTTGCCGCTTCTCATTTTCTTTATGTAGATGTGTGGCTTCCTCTTGAATTGAGATCATTTAGTCTAAAGAATGTGAACATTGTTTAGTGCATCATCTGTAGAAAAAGAAAAAATTATATTCTCTTTAGACTGTCTTAAAAAAATCCAGAAAACTCTGACACTTAGGGAAAAAAGACCAGGACCAGATGAAAAAGACCTTTTGTTATTGACTACAGGCATTGTTTTCCTTCCCAAGTTTCATGGAACACACTGAAGAGCATTTGAAATTGCCTCATGTGGTTTGTCCCCTACAGTCTGACGTGGCACCATTCCATAATTTAATAATGGCATGAGCAAGGCGATTATCAGCTGACCCCTAAGAGACCAATGTAAGCTGATCTCTCTGCTCTGCAGATGACACAAATAGAAAGCTTTGAAAAACAGCAGAAAGACACTCTGTCACTTGTCTTTTTCCCCTGAAAAAGTTGGGACACATTCTGCTCAGCCAACATGTTCCCAGAGGAATGCGATTTAACTTCCACTTTTCACACAGTAAGAAGCAGCACCATAGACCTGTAGGGAAGTTGATGGCAGCTTGGGAGGAATTTGGATAAGTGTTTGTCACTCCAGTGTTTTCATGTGACCTGACTCTCATTCTCAATTTAGCTACATCTTGACCTGAAAATGCAGCCACAATATGCCTCTCTTCATTTGGCTTACCTTAATTTGTAATGGGCATGCCTGTCCTTTCCCTTTTCCCACCCCATACAGCCACTTTCTGATTTCCCTTGCAATCTACTAATAGAGCCTTTCTCTAGATGTCTATACATGTACTTACACTTTGTTTTTTCTCTGTAGGGACTTTATTTGCATAGAGAGAAAATATATTTGAGTCCCTGAGATATATACAAAGATATCTACCCCAAAGCAGCTTATGCAGTTCTCCACTTCTTTGGCCAGATCATCTGATTATTCACATAACTGGCAGCTTCTTTAAGACCGCTCATGTAGTAAAGGAATTAATATTCCAAATTCTCCCTAGCTTGTCTTGCCTCCTCCCTCTATCAAGCGACTGATTTTTATGCATGAGGTAATAGACAAGCCTTGGGTGACCTGTTTTTTTTTTTTCCTATCCCTCCCTCCCCCTCTTTTTCCCTTGCGGTAAAATAGTGCTGAAGAAAGAGGGCACTAGTGTACAGCCCAGATCGCATCCTTGCACCGACTGGATTAGAGCTGAGGCGCCTGCAAGCCGAGCGTGGCCACAGTCCTCTGGCCCCGGGACCATAGCGCTGTCTGCCCCGACTGAGGTACTCAGGTACGTCTTAAGTCCATGTTCTCCAAACAGACTCAGGTGAGCGGACACTTCCTCGGGTGAAACCCACCCACAACGGCAGACAAAGTTCCAGTCTATCAGATTTTCCTCCGGGTCCCAGGAGCATTCTCTCATATATTTCTTTTCGTCCTGTATCCTCGGGAGGCGTCGGGACCCATGGGTGCCTGAGTCGTCTTTCTCCTTTTTCTGCCTCACCTTCGGTGCTCTCCACGCCCGCTCCCATTGCCCCCTTTTCGTCGACTCTCACCTTGAGAAAGGAAGCAGGGGAGGAACGGGAGAGGGAGCCAACTTCAGCCCCGCAGGCAGCTGAGAATTGGCGCCTCTGTCCCCAAGCGGGAGGGTTTGATATATACCTGCAGAAGCCATGCAAGGTAACGAGAATGAGGGCGGAGGGGCGGTGGGGACTCGAGTGGAGGGGTGTGTGTGTGTGTGTGTGTGTGTGTGTGTGTGTGTGTGTGTGTGTAAAGAACGCAGAGGAGAGCAAAGGGTTTCAGGGAATTGCAACTCACTGGTGGTCAAAGCGTCCCTTGCAGGCCCTGCCAGGGAAGGTCTGGCTGGACCGAGCACTGTCCAGGGTCCTGAAGGCGTCACGGCTCCGGCTGCAGCGGCGAGAGCAACCGAGAAGCTCCCCTCCGTTCCCTTTCTAGCAACTATGCAAACCCCAAAGGTCCCGATTTAGGCGAGTGCAGGACCACCTCTAACTCGTCCACCCACTGTGGGAAATAAGTTACCTTATCTGCACCCCTTCTTCTTGAACATACACAGCAAGCCTGACATCTTAGGGGGGGAAACATAACAAACTCCTCCATACGAGACTTTACCAGGCGTTGCCTTAGTAACTAATATGGATTTTCTTCAAGCTGGCAAATTTATATTTACAGCTGATCGTATGTCAGGGTTTCCTTAATCCTTCAAAATTAAAGTTAAAAGGTGCATTCCTTGTTTGCATTTATTTTAAAGTTGAGCTTCCACCTTTACATTGAGTTTCCAAATTTTCTTCTTGGAAAAAGTTGATCTTTTCCAGTCAGGAAAGTTCTCTTGGGTTGAAGGACCCAGCTCCTCCCCTCCTCTCTGCTCACCTTCCCCACTGCCCTCCAAATTAGAAAGCATGATAGGTTTTAGGGGACCAGGAAGAGACTTAAGGCTCGGGGAGCCAGCAGGTTGGCAGGGCTTTCCGCCGCCCGGACCCCTGAGGACACAGCAGGCAGGACACTCCGCCTTCCTCAGTGACTACAGCTGCGTTCCAAGCTGTTCATGCAGCCGAAGTCAGGATGTGCCGAAATGAAACGGGCAAGGCAACTGTTAACATCACGGACCTCAGAGTTTTAACACAGGTCCTCTGATGACATGGCTTTGATTTTTCTCTGTCTTTTGTTAGCAGCAGCCAGCTCGCCGCCGCCAACACGACTTCCACTGTACTCTTGATCAATTTACCTTGCTTGATGCACTGGTGAAGAACGGGGGATTCGAATTCCCCTACAGACGCCTCCAGCTCGTAGAGGCGGTTGCGGAGGACTCAGAGGAGGAGGCGAAGGGGAAGGAGGCGGTGGTGGAGGAGGCAAAGGCCCTGGACCAGCACTGTTGCCGAGGGGCAGCACGCCAGGAGAGGCTGCGCTGGGCGTCTGCGGGGAGCGCGCCGGGAGCCTGCAGCGGGACCTGCTTGGGAAGGCGGTTGGCGGGCTGTGGACCGCGTCCTCACCACCATGGTCCGGCTCCTCTTGGTTTTTTTGCCAGCGATCCTTTTGGAAGTGTCCCTTCTCTCCAGAAGCCCCGGCAGGAAAGTGTTGCTGGCGGGAGCGTCGTCTCAGCGCTCGGTGGCCCGAATGGACGGAGATGTCATCATTGGAGCCCTCTTCTCAGTCCACCACCAGCCTCCAGCAGAGAAGGTACCCGAGAGGAAGTGTGGGGAAATCAGGGAGCAGTATGGCATCCAGAGAGTGGAGGCCATGTTTCACACCTTGGATAAGATAAACGCGGACCCAGTCCTCCTGCCCAACATCACTCTGGGCAGTGAGATCCGGGACTCCTGCTGGCACTCTTCCGTGGCTCTAGAACAGAGCATTGAATTCATTAGGGACTCTCTGATTTCCATTCGAGATGAGAAGGATGGTCTCAACCGGTGCCTGCCTGACGGCCAGTCCCTCCCCCCAGGCAGGACTAAGAAGCCTATTGCAGGAGTGATCGGTCCCGGCTCCAGCTCCGTAGCCATTCAAGTGCAGAACCTGCTTCAGCTCTTTGACATCCCCCAGATCGCTTACTCAGCCACAAGCATCGACCTGAGTGACAAAACTTTGTACAAATACTTCTTGAGGGTTGTCCCTTCTGACACTTTGCAGGCAAGGGCCATGCTTGACATAGTCAAACGTTACAATTGGACCTATGTCTCTGCAGTCCACACGGAAGGTAGGCATTATATTTGGGAAAGAAAGGTACTGAGAAAACCAGGGCATTGCATGATGTGCTCCTGGGATCATAGTATTGTTCCTGTTTATTTCTAGCACTGTGGGGGACAGAATTTACCCTTCTCAGTTCTGCTCACCCAGGCATTGCCTTTTATCCTCATTTCCTTACAATTATAATTATAGTGTAGGAAAATTGTACCCTGCGGCATATCTGAGGATAGTAGGAGCTAAAAGGATATCAAACTTTCCAGGCAAAGTGTCCAGCAATAGATTTGACTTGGATACTTTTGCCCTCATATTTTGAGTTTGTGTTTGGAAGGCTTATTTGTTCAAGGTGTTATATTGCTCTTCAGTGACTGGTTATGACTTTCTAGGTGTAATGAGTTAATTCAGTGTGAGTGATTGGCAAAAAGAAGTTACTATTCCACAAATTGAACTTCAAAGCTTCATCTTTCTTGAAACAGTTGAAGGTGTTTCTTTAACCTCTTGTACCCCTTCTTACATATCCATAACTTTCCTGTGAATGTAGTATTAATGAAGTCATCTCCCTCAGTATGTCAGAAACTTACATTTTTACTTCTGAAGTACCTTAGTTACAAAGAAAAACTAAATAATTTAAATCATTTATCTTCTTACTTTATATGCTAAAATGGTCCAGATTCCCTTATTCCCCCAATAATTACCTTCTTTTACGAGAAATAACACTGATGACCACTTGGATTTGAGTTTTGGTTTCTAGTCTTTTTCTTCTAACACAATGAATTGACATATTAGAATTAAAGTTAGACCAGTAAAATACTAATGAATGGATAGCAGATATCAAGTTTATGTCTTTCTAAAATGAAATAGATTTACCTAAGGCTAAAAGCATTGATTTTTCCAGAGATTTATGGATGTGGATTCTCAAAAAATTTTAAATATAAATATTTTCTATACTTTTTTTTAACCTTAGATTATATACATTTTTTAATAAAAGTGGATTTCTGAGCTCAGCTACTCTTAACTTCCCCGGTAGGTTTATGGAAAATACTGAGGCCCTGGTTATACATTAACATCTAGGACATTCACATGTATAAGCTAGCATAAGAAGACAATCTTGATGGTATTTCTGCATTCATATTTCTCCAAGTAAAATGATTTTTAAGAAGGCATAGACATGGCTCTATGTTCCTTTAATGTTTCCAAAATATTTAGTTACTGGTGTGAGGTCTGATTATCGAAATTGGCAGTATCCATAGTGAAGTGATTATATGGTTGTCATTAATGAAAACAGATACTTTATAAACAGAACAAAATATTCAGAACAAACATAAATCTTACAGAATTACACTTCATAATTTCAGTTTTTGCTTTTGGAAAAAATTATATGCTGTGATATTGTAACTTTATAACAACTTACTTATGATTCTGAAGTTTGATTTTTAATCACAAAATGCATACATTTTTTTGAACAAAAATTCATTACTTTTTAAAGACACCCTTAAGTTCAGATATTAATTCCTTATATTCTAATATTTGACTTTACTACATGTTAATGTTTAACATACTTTCCTTTAGTGCTTGCTTAAATGAAACATCCTGAAAGAGCAAGTTAAAATGTGTTAAATATCATCATTGGATAGATCCAGAGGTGATGGCAAAGAGAATGGCAAAATCTAGATTGAATGTGATTTATTTAAATATTTAATAAAATTTCCCCCATTTGAGCTAGATAATTGATTATTGACATTAGAAGTATTAATTCTTTCTTCTGGAAAAAGTAATACTTTATCATTTTTATACACTAGCTTTATTTTCCATATTTTATTATAAGATTATTTTATTTGGTAAGAGGTAGCTAATAGTGGGTTGCTTTCTGAGAACTAGAATTATGTTTTTGGAAAATTAATTGAACTTGTTTTCACTAATTTTGCTCATGTCTTAGTTTGGATTACTGTGTTTCCTTTCTGCCTTATGATTGGTGTTGTATGGCAAAGACAATGTCTCCATACTAGTATAGTAATTGGTTCCAGACTACATTGTGTTCACAGAGCAGCATCATAGTAATATGTGGTGTTTATTTTATTACCAAGTGATTGTACCATTCGCCTTGCCATTCATATATTATACCTTGTTTCTTCTCAAAGGGAATTAGTCACTTCTCTTATTAGATGTAACATCTGTGAAAACTAAACTGCATTTATTTCTTTCTATCTGCAAAGAAATTTTGTGTAAACTCCAACTGAAGATTTATTTTTCCTGAGGCTTTGCCCTCCTGCTTCTCATGGACCCATTGTGTACTGGCCTACAGGCACTTTCTTGGATCATTTAGTAATTTTCCTGCTTTCAGACTGATGGGGTCGCCTACTGATGACAGTTCCCTGTCAAATAGCAGCAAAGACTGCATACCAGTGTCGTCTTTGTCATCTGAGCACTAGTCAGCAAGAAAGCCAGTTTGTCTGGATATTGGCAACTTAGGGCTTAGAAATTCTGGGGCCTCCCATGACCTTTACCTCTCCTTTCCAAATCAGACATTCCCTAGTCAATTCATTATCATCGTTTCTTGTATTAGAAGTTAACCAAGTGCAGTTAATACCAAAAACACTAAGTGACTGGACTGGTGTACCTTCATTTCTATAGTTAATTGTGATTACCTTGAAATCATATTGTTTTTGAATGCTACAGTTGTTTTTCTATTGAAGCTAAACTTGGAGATATTTTCACTTTTGTTTTATATTTTAACCAGTTATGATTTTAAAAATATTCTTTTACATTATTTCCAATCTTACACAGTCGATACATACCAATTATCAATTTACATAAAATAAAAGAAAATCAGTAGACATAAAGTTACCTGCAATGCAACAGACTCTCCAGAAATTGTTCATGATTGTCTCTGGAGGGAAATGTTAAGATGGATCTGTCAAGGGGGAGGCAGGATATTGGAGTAATGGAGGCTTATCCACAAATACAATTTGAATGCACTTTGGAGCAAGCTGCTTACCTGGAATGTGAGTCTTTAAGTATGCTAAGTATATGGTACATAAATAGCCTACTGCTGATGAGAATATCTCAGCCAAGGATACTTGTTCTTCTGATAAAATGCAGATTCCCCATCAAGAAACAAATTTATCATTTCAAACAATTTTTGAAAACAGTACTTAAAACTAACTCTAGTTAGTAAAATTCAAAGCATTGAACAAGTCCAATAAAAATGTTCTTTGAGCTTGTAGCTACAAGTTTTTTTGAGTGGATAAATTTTCATTCATTACTTTTATTTTTTTGTTTTAAGCCTTTCTTTCAGTATTTTGTCTCAGATACTTAGATAAGTATTGATATAATAATGAGTTTAGTGATGCTGCTTCCCTTATGAAAATATCAACTTTAAGGTAAACTTTACTGTTAGATTTTCATTGTGGGGCAATTTTTTTTTCCCGGCATTTGCTTACATTTTATATAAAATTGGTCTTTTTGAGCTTCTTTCCAAAATCTGATTTTTTTTTCTTTTTAAGTACTCATTTTCATTTGATATGAAGCAATTAAAAAGTCTAACAACATCAGAAGAAAATACTCCTAAGTCATAAATACATAAGTTAACTGTTACTTTTTAATGCAATTACCTGTAATAATTTTATATCTACTAAATATCAAATTCCTTTCTATGTACCAGTAACTTTCTCTATGCCTTTCTTGTCTTGATTGCAAACTATTTCAAAGAAAATTATCTTAATACATTGCTCTATTTTATCACATAATAAGAAATAGGAATGTCTTGAAAAGTTATTCAGGCCAGCTAATAAAAGATGCTTAGAGCATCACTATTACATGCTTGCCCACGCTCAAAGCTTTCTAATTGTGATTAGTGTTTCTAATTAGAGTAGGAGTATATAGGAGTTAAATTGAGAACAGAATTTCACCTGACTTTTAGTCGGTTCTTTTATATAATAACCTAAAACAGATTTCCTGGAGTTTCCACCAATCCTCCATTGAGGACTAGGAGTCATCCAAAACATTGGAACTTCTCTTCCATATGACACTTATCATTAATGAATAATCTCTCTTTTATAGTATACTCTCCAGTTCCTTCACCCACGTATTTCATTTTTTACTTCCCTTACCATCATAGCTGATTAGAGTAGATCCTAGATCAATTAACATCCCAAGATGTTTTTTTAAAAAGTTCTGCTATTAAGCCATGTCTCCTTCCTTTTATGCTTGAACAGTTACTAATTTTGTTACTGTTACCATTAGATCCAAGAGCAGAACTTGAATTTTTTTCCCTTTAAATGTAAAATTATTAGCTTCAATCTGCCTTTCTTATATCAGTAAGCTCTGGGATTTTGATTATTTAACTTATCTTAGCATTCCAGCTTTGTGTCTCCAGGATTTAATTATATATGTTAAAATCTAAATAAGATAGGATCAAGAGTAAGGTCTCAAATCCTTTCATGAGCAAACTACCTGGCTAATTCTGGTGGTCACTTAGCCTGTTATATAACAATTTTGAAGACTTAATTTCAGTTACTAAGTAGTTTTTACTTTAAGGGGAGTGCAGTTTCAATATATGTAAAGTTAAGTGAAAGCAATGACAGTATAGACATTTAGAAATAAGAGCTTATTCAATTGCAGGGAAATGAAAAAAATATTAGTGGTACAATTATCTAGAGAAAACCTGGAGAAAAGGGAATTTTGGTTAGTTTTGTTTGGAAATAAAGCATTTGTAAAAGTTAGAGGCAATATTGAAAGTGCTCTCCTGATGGGAAACAAAGCAGATTTGGTTAGCTGGCAGAAAGAGTCTGGGCTAAGAACTAATAACAATGGCAGAAGCAGGTCCTAATATTCTGTGATTATGTCAGTCTTTATGGACATGAAGGACAAGTAATGGAGAATCTTGAAGCATGTGCCAAAGAGTTTTGGTCTCAAGAAAGATACATCTAAGCACAGTTAGACATGTGAACTTTGGCCAAGAGAGCATTGGCAAGAGTGTGTGAGTGGACAAATGAAAAGCCAGAGATTGTTACA